AACCAGACTCTATTCCTGACAGGATCGAGTCTGGGACCCCCGGAGACGGGACGAGAGCGGAAACGTGAAGATCGAGAAAGAGGGCGTGAGAAGAAAGAGCGGACGCGTTGAGACGTACCTCCGGTAGCAACCTGGAGTCAACGCGGCTCGGTTCGGCTGCAAGAGGGACCGAGTCGCTGACTATTTTTTTTGACTCAGTGTTGTCGACCGGAGACGCAGCGACCGGAGTGATGGTAGTGGCGCGTGCGTCCAACATAGCCTTCTTCTTTCGACACTCGTTGGCCATATGCCCAGACTTGCCACAGAAGAGGCAAAGCTTGTTCTTGATTCTGAACTCGCGTATTTCTGGCTTCAACTTCCCATCAGGACCAAGAAGGGAAGCATGCGCTTTGGCTGTCTTCGTCTTGTCGTTATTGTTGGAAGACGACGAGGAAGCCTGTTGCTGAGAGCTGTTGGAGCCCTTGTTGCCAGAATTCGAATTACCACCGGAGACGTTTCCGTTTCCGGAGTTGTTGCCAGAGGAGCCAGAAGAGCCAGACGATTTTTTCGAAGAGGAGTCCTTTTTAGAACCCCCAGACCCAGAATTCGAGCCACCGGAATGGCCACCGGAATGGCCAGAGCCCAAACCAGAACCAGATCCACCACCATGAGAGTCTCTTAACTCCCGCTCCCTCTGCTTCTCCGCTTCACGCTTCCAATACTTGCCGTCAATGAGACGGGCAGTTTGCTTGACTCCGTCCAGCGTATTAGCGTAGACGTAGTGCATCATGTCGTCCTTGATACGTTTAGGAAGACCGGAATAGAAGGTATGTCGGAGAGCGGAATCACCCCAATTGGTGATGAGAGCGAGGGTGTCGAATTGGATAATGTAAGTGGTGATCTTATCACCGGACTTCATCGTCACATTCCGGATTTTGTCCTCCGTGTCGCCAACCGGGTCCTGAGGACCAAAGTTGTCCTGGAGTTCCTTGATGAACAAAGGAAAATTGCCGTCCCAAGCCGGAATCGCAATAGCCTGGCCCTGATTCATGGCATACAGGTTAGGCGTAAAGTACGCCAATGCGTTTCCGCGCAGATACGAGGTGATGTAGATTATTTTCTCGTCATCAGTAGAGAAATCTTGCTCACGCTCGGCAAAGTGCATATAGCACTGGGTGAGGAAAGGGACGAGCTTCGCGGGCTCGGAACTGTCGAACGTGTCCGGTGCCCGGAGAAGACTCCGATTGGAACGGGGCGGAGCATTGTTGCGCTGAGGAAAGTTGGTGAGGAAATGTTGGAAATTTTGGAGAGCACCAATCATAGCCGCGTTGAAGATCACGGCCCGGAGAGCCAGCTCGAGGGACTCCGGCACCACCACCTCCACCAGGTGGCCTACCACCTCCACCTCCACCTCCTCTGCCTCCTCTGCCACCACCTCTAGGGGGACCCCAGAATGGATTTCCAGATCCACCAGGGCCGCCACCAGGACCACCAGGACCACCACCACCAGGTCCACCACCACCAGGTCCACCACCACCAGGTCCGCCAGGTCCACCACCGCCAGGAGGTCCACCTCCAGGGAAACCAGGAGGGGTCGTAGATTGACTAGATAGCGAAGTCAAGAACGGACTCGGCTTGCCACTAAGAGTCGGAGAGGCGTTGCGGTTTGGTTGACCTTGACCGGAATCGTTTCCGTTTCCGGAGCGACCTTGAGCAGGGCTCATGGGCCTGCTAAAAGCGTGCCGATACATCGGAACAGGCTCGCTTTCTTCTTCGATGTCGTGAAGGCGTGTGGGAGTGAGGGGTCGGTAACGAAAAGTATGAGAGATGGGAGGGGAACTGACGCTAGAGAAACGACCCGTGTTTGGATGCGGAGTCGTTGGCAGAGGAATAGTACTTGGATCAGGATCCTGCGGAGACATGACAAAACCAGACCGGAAAGGGTTGGTCGTGCCAGTAGGTGTCCGAGGAACGGAAACAGGAACCGAAGTGACAGGAGCGCCAGCGTTGTAGGTGAAGTTCGCCATAGGCGAAGTGAGAGGAACCATTTGTTCGTAGAAGCGGGATGAACGCCGTTGACCAGTATTGGCGGGGTCTATGTTGCCAGAAGAGAGGTGTACGTTTGACATGGTCAAAAGGAAGTGAGTTTGTAAATACTGTTAAGTGCCGTGTCGACCAAAGGGACGGAGACGGAGACGGAGACGGAGACGGAGACGGAGACGGAGACGGAGACGGAGACGGAGACGGAGACGGAGACGGAGACGGAGACGGAGTCTAAGTCGGAAACGGAATCGAAGTCGTAGAGCACTTGGGGCGGAACACCACAGAAGGATGTTTGGGTGACCGGGGCTTCCAGTTGACCAAGACAAGACAAGAGGAGAAGAGCGGAGTCGAGACGACGCTGGGAGATAGAGACCAGCAACGTTAATTTACAAACTGAAGTACGTGATAATACATCAAAGTATTTATAGTACGAGAAGTAACGGAAACGGAATAAGGTATAACAAAGTAAGTAACAAGATTAGAACAAAGTCAAGTAAAGTAGAAGAGGAGTTGCATACGAGGAACAAGGCATAGATGATTGCATAGATCATAAGTCGGAGTAATTGGAAACGCTCAGTAAATCTTCATTGCGTAAAAACCAAATACCGGAGACGGATATCGGAGACAGATGCCGGAGTCGGCACGGATACATATAACATATAGCCTCATAGCATAATATTTACAGCATAGACACTTAGGGTCAGTATCATCTTATGCTGTGAAATTATTGCAGTTATAGAAGATTTATTGCGAGCTTTACTGCAGCATAGGCATTTTCATATGTTCTCTTCTAATTAAAATGAAGACCCCAGTGGGCTCTTCATTCTAATTAGAGTAGATAATTAGGCTTAGCAGGTGCCGTATATGTGTCAGGGGAACCCCCACCTTGGCATCTGTCCATCGCATCTCGGCATCAGACACCTGTCCATCAATTACCTACGTGATGCCCAAGCGACCGTCGTTTTGTCCACCGATAGGAATCAACGTAGGTAATGCATCAGGATCTGCAAGAAGATCCTCCTGGGACCTGGCATGCGACATGACGCGGGCATATTGCATGGAGCAACAATCATTCTTGGCGCATCAAGAGCGTGGTATATAGTTGTATACCTGGCAGGTGGACCCTCAGAGTTTCTTCTCTTTGGATCCTTCCCTGCCAGGTCAGCCTTGTTTGTATTTGTCTACCCTTATTCACTCTTTGGATCCTCCCCTGCCAGGACCTTGATCTCAGGCCTCCGGGGTTGCCCTTACAATACGCCTGAGCTTTGTCCACAGATTTTCTTTGTGTCAAAAGCTATCATTTATATAGCTGTTTTATCACACAAAAATTAGTCATAAAAATCTGAAATTTACTCTTGCCTTTATCTCATAACTTTCCAAAGGGGTAAATTTCCAAAAAAAAAAAAGTGTCTTGCATTTGTCCTAAACTTTCCCAAGGGGAAAATGTCTAAATCAGCTCAGTGTGCATGTTGACAAGTTGATGGGAAATCATGTGTGCCACGTCATGATGCGGTCAGAGTCCGTCAGACTCTCACCATCCCGCCGACCCCGCTTCCCACCAACTTCCCACCCCGGTCCCCCACGCCTGCGACGGGGAGAGCCTTTCAACCGGAATCAGTCCACATTGCTCTCTGACGCCCCATCGCAATTGCGAATCCGTGGTGCTTTGACTCTTTGAGCCTTGGACGCGTGCAGTGCGCACACTGCCAGCCACATACTACTTAGAGACGATGTTGGGAGCAAAATTCAAGACAATTCTAATGCATCGCACAAACTATGGCTCTAGTATCACACTGGCATACTGTTTTCGCAGTCACCGATCCCTGCGCGCTCGCTGCTGGCGATAATCGGCATCTATGAAGGACTGTAAACGCGTCAGCTCGCGACTTCTACTGGCTGGCGCCGAGGACGTGTCGAACCTGGTGGCTACTAGTCAGACTCCCGGCGGAACGGCCCTTTTATGGCTGCAATGTGGACGGGAAGGGCGACGGCGACGCGATGCGCGACGTCGATATCAGACTCGCTTGATGCTAGACAAGCCGACAGTCAGCAGAGCTTGGTCGAGAGGGAGGAAGACGCACCAGCAAGTGGGTGTCCCAAGACGGCAACGACGGTGACGGCGAGGAGAGCGAGGGTGCGGAGAAGGGACTGCATCGCTGGCGTAGGCTGGGTGGTGGGTGCTTCAAGTCCCGAATACTGCTGCTGTACTTATACCGGCCCTTTAGCGCGTCCGCCGCTCAACTTGAAGTTCATCCGGTCAAACAGGCTCGCGTGCGGCGTCTGGCAGGGCAGGTGTGCCATCGCGCGCGGGATCCGCCTTCTGAAGCAGCGGCGTCCAAGAGCAGTTCGGAACACTGTTTGACGGACAGGATTCAATTTCACGCGGAGCGTCTACAAATCGGGCGCGGATCGGCGCAAATCACCCATCGATCGATCGATCAGCGCCGCTTTCGTCCTTTTGATCGCGATCGCCAGCAACATTTTTTTTTCTCCTCCCACCACCACCACTGGATTCAAGTTGTGTGCACCCGCCGACGCTCGACGCGTACGCACGCGACCTGGGACAGGCCCAAGCTCCCGGCCGCGGATGCCTGGGCCCCATTGAAGGATGACGCGGCGACCAAAGCGGCGGTGGGCCGCCGGTGGCGGAGATAGCCAAAAAGAGAGAGAGGACAAGATCGAGCGAGCGTTTCGATCGGGATTATACGTCGATCGACGCCCACCACCCACCACACAGCCAGCCAATTCACACCCTTGCCGTTCGCGCTCAGCCCCCATCGCCATTGTCCCGCGCCTGGCGCATGCACACTATGGCCCAATGGTGCGCTTTGGCTCTTTGTGCTTGGGCTGCGGCCGGGGCGGTATAAGAACGGGGCGGGCGGGACTGTTTGCTTAGCTGGTTCCCTCCCGTTTGCGACGCGCAGGACACGTCGACTAGCCACTACCGCCCGCTCGCAAACTAAACTTAATCTGACAAGATGGCGCGCAAGCACCCGAATGCCCCCTCCGTGCGTTTCGTTTCTCCTTTTAGTGATAAACCCAGACTGATTGGCACTACAGTTTCCGTGCAAGTACGCGGGCTGCACAACCACTTGTGCGCGGCCATCGGATCTACCAAGGCATTATATGGTCCACACCGGCGAGCGGCCCTTCGAATGCGAGACTTGTGGCAAGGCATTCCGCCAAGAGTCCACGCTCAAGACGCACTTGAACACGCACACCGGCGCCAAGCCCTTCCGCTGCACCGACTTGGCGTGTGGCATGGCCTTCGCCGACGGGTCGGCCTGCGCGCGCCACATCAAGGAGCGGCACGTGATGCGCGGGGCGTACCGCTGCCCGCACGAGCGCTGTGAAAAGAGACGGCCGATCAAGCGCAAGTCCGAGTTCAAGCGGCACTTGCTGACCAGTCACAAGGGCGTGTTCGCGACGGACAGCGAGAGCCTGGAGGAGTTCTTCTGCGGCCCACGGGCGGAGGAGGATAATGGCAGGGTAAATAAGGATTACGCGGCCCATTTGACGATTCCGGGGTTGCCGTCTTGTGAGTGCCCCCTTCATGTATCCTGACTCTGGCTTAAAATTCGCGTCTGTAGACGGCTCCCGGCCCGGCTCGTACGCCGACACGGACTTCCAGTTTGTCCCCGTTGCTCAGTCATACGCGTCATCGAGCAGCTCGGCCGACAGCGCTAGCTCGGGCTACTCGGCCTCGCCCTCGCCTGTGTCGTTTGACTCGTTCTACGAGGAGCACCGCTACCTGACATCCCTGGCACACCACCAATCGCAACGCGGACATGGCCAATACGCGTTCTCTCTCCCGACGCTGCCCCCGCAGCCCGTCTTCCCGCCGCGCATGCCAATCCCGATGCCGACGGACGCGCAGGCACGTGCGCTGTTGGACCTCACGCATGACCTGCCCGCATTCTTCTGAATTTAAGCGATATGATGATGGACTTGCACTTGCAATCGGACACTGTATCGATATCTCGCTCATTTGTACATAAATACCAGTACGGTTCTCCTCAACATCACGTGTATAAGTACATAGACGTTCAGAACGACGGCGCGTTGCAGTTCAGCGCCTTCAGCTTGTCGGGCGTGTCGATGATGTTTCCACCTATGGATCGGATGAGATAAGATAAGATGTCCAAGAGCCAGCCACCCACATTGGCGCTTGGTATTCGCCGCGCCGGCGGACGGCGCTCTGTCCTCAATCGGGCCTGGTAACAACATAAGCTCCGCCATCCCGACGGTTTCGGCAGCTCACCGTCGGTGGGCGCCGACAACGCTCCGGCGAAGAAGACCCCCGCGAGCACGAGGGCGAGATACGCAGTGCGGATGTTGAAGTTGAACACTGCCATTTGCACACTGGAGCTGGGGGCAGAGTCCTACTACAGCCCGGGGCGCTCTTATACCCCGCGTTGGCATCGCACTGGCAGTCCTGTTTGCCTATCTTTAAACCTGCGGTCGTCTGGGAGGAATTGCACCATCATGGAATGCGACCCACGCCGACGGCGGTGTGGAGGACATCTTTGTGCAATGTGCATTGCCGCATCCAACTTGCACGGAAAGATCCCTGATCCAGGAAGCACTCTGTTGTGAGCAACATAAAAGCCACCGGGTTGAAATGCAAGCTCAGAATCCAGATAGCAAGGATAGCTTTAACGCCCGGTCGAATTGACCCAAGGCAGAAGAACGATCACCTAGCCTGAGCCCAGGGCATCTGCGCTGGCAGATTCACATCAAGAGACGTGCTCCTGGAGAGATGCTTCGCCTGATGGGCCCCGCGTGGAAGTCCGTAGAATACAAGTTATCGTCGCCCTGTAAACGTCCCTCACTCAGCTGCTCTCACACAGACAAAGAACCGCACAGCATCCCGACATGATGACCTGCGATAAGCTGCGGCCCCCGAGGAAGACCTGCGTGCGAGCGGCGCGGCTTCGATCTCGGAATCCACCCGTGGCATGTTATCGAAGCCACATCAATAGTGTTGATGCAATTCAGCACGTGAGAAGAGAACCATGTCGACATCGATGATCGCAGGAATCCAGCGAGGATCCAGACAGGGGCGGAAATCTGATCCGCGCGCGCGATGGTCGTTCTCCAGAACGTTCGGGCAGCGGCCGACCGGCTTGAACTGCAACTCGGCGGACAAAGCTCGCAGCGATGTTTTTAAAGAAAGGGCAGGCGAGGCAGCAGGCTATACTTGCGCCAACTTGCGCTTCTCTCCCAGATGGATCCGACCGGCGCGAACATCACCTCGTTTGCACCAGAGGGCGAGACTGCCTTCGATCTCTGGATCGAGAAGTCTTTCCTCGACGGGTATGCGCTCGCGGCTGTTGGATACGGTCTGTGGCTTTTGTCGGAATCTCTTTTCTGAACGACCATCATTGTCCAGGTGTCCTCCTTGCGCTGACCTGGCAGACCATGCACTCGTTCTTCAGTCTGCCACAGAAGAGCCGGCCGTGGGGCTTGGTCGGGTACGCCGCGATGATCTTTGCATTGGCCACCATCGGCTTTGGGAGCGCGACGAAGATCAACGAGCGGTCCTTCGTCCAAGACCGCAACGCGCCAGGCGGGCCCAGTGGCTTCGAAGTCATCTCATTCGCATCGCCGGTGAACATGATGGGCGTCGTCGCGTGCGCTTTCTATTCGCCTAAGTGTTATGTTGCTGAGAACGCCTAGATACGTGATGTTGAGCTGGATTGCCGACGGCCTGGTGGTGAGCTGTTTCACATTAACACCTTGCAAAAACTGAACGCGTCACCGAGTTGTGGCGTTTCTGGCTCGTCTGGGGCTCCAACTACGTCTACACCATCTTCCCGGCTATGATGCTGTTGGGCTCAGTCGGTGAGTCTTTGAACTGGCTCAAAAAAACCGAACTCACGGAAAGAACGCACTAGCTACGTCCCTGGCGCTCATCGTCACAAGCTTCCAGGTGGAGAACTCCTTCTGGGCCGCCCGCTCCGTCCAATTTGGCACTGCATACTGGTCCCTCTCCATCTCGCTCAACATCTTGCTTACACTGCTCATCGCCGGGAGAATCCTCGTCATCCGCCGGCGCATCAAGCGCTCGCTCGGGGCACAGCACGCCCAAAAGTACTTCTCCGCCGCGGCAATGATCATAGAGTCAGCCTCGCTCTATGCGGTCGTCGGTCTTATCTTCATCGTCACATACGCCCGAAGTAGCTCCGTCCAAAACCTGGTCTTTCCCGCCCTGGGCCAAGTTCAGGTCAGAACAATACCCCCTCATTTATTGCGCGAGACTCACGATATGCAGGGCATAGCGCCAATGCTCATCCTTTCGCGTGTCGCGCAGGGCCGGGCCTGGTCACAGAGCACGATCCAGGCCACGACTGCGTTGAGCATCAACGGCGCGAATGGCGCCAGCACGACCAACATCGCACTTGGCAGCCTCGCCTCGCGACAGGGGGCCGGGCTCGACAGCTTCAAGGGCGTCCATATGGTCACAGACAAACACACCGATTCGGATTCCCTCCCGTATACAGCGCGTGTGTAGTCTTGATTTTTCCTTACTTGGTCAAATATATATTAGTATATATGATGGCGAGGCCGGTCTGAAAGCAAAGGAACCCGGGCATAGTTCTTGCGATCAGATATCATCGACGAGCACCATGACCGACCCGGGAGAAGCATCTTCAATCTATCTGTCAGTCGCTATGTTTCACCAAACATATAAAGCCCACCGCAGCAGCCACCTGGACACCCCCCATGTTCTCGATCCGGAAGTTGGAGCCCGTTTTCGACGCGGCAAATCCAGCAGCAACCTTGCCCGAGTACGCCAGCATACTCTCAGTCCTGAGTCAGGCATTCGACGGTGGTGCGTGCTTCTTTGTTCTTTGCCTTTTTCCACTTCGCCGCATCCGAAAAGCAGATTTATTCACCGCCGTAGTCAATGGCCGGGAGGTTGACGACCCGGACCGGAGCTACTATGAGCCGTTCTTGATGGCGCCTATCGTGGCAGAGGCACTAGTCGGGGAGATATACGTGGCAGAGACGGAGGAGGGCGGAAAGGCGAAGGTGGTCGGCATTGCAGGCTGGTTCGGGCCCAGTGTTTCGATGTTTGGAAGGTAAAAATCGATGCTCCTCCTCCGTTGTGTCGTTAACCAAAGGAAAAGCGAGCAAGAGCAGCGATATGCACTGTTACCGTTCATGGCGAGCATGAGCGCGGAGCTGCAGGCCTGGTGGACAGACGCGGTGAGAGACCTTCTGTTCCGGCAGAGATAACACTCACCGGCGGCCAGTTTTTGCCCCAATGGGAAGGCTTTTCGGAAGCCACGCTTGGAAGTGGCGTGAACCATAACTCGTGGACCCTCCAAACACTCGCCGTTGACCCAAAGTACCACCGCCGCGGCATCGCTCGCGCGCTTCTTGAGCCTGTCGTCCAGACGGCGCGTCGTGAGGGAGGATTGCTCTGTGTGGATACGACTGTCGAGGAGAATGTGTGACTGTTATTCTTGGCATTCACAAGCTGAACGGCGCACTAGGTGGCCATATACGAGAAGCTGGGGTTCCAGCTCGCGCCAAAAGGAAAAAGTAACGACGGGGAAGCGCGGACGGTGGAGGAGTGTAGACACGTCTTCACGGGATTAACTGGAGCCGAGGTATCTGTGTGGATATTAACTAGTAGAAGATTTGAGTGAGTCTGTAGTGTCCAGGCAGAAGTACCCAGTGCTGCCGCTGTTTCGGAACTTTCGGTTTGGTGCGGACGGCGCGACCAAGACACACATACACGAATGACTGTCGTAGGAGTCGCCTAGACGTAGATATAATCTTGGCCGGAAGCCCTGCTGCACCACAGGCAAAGGTATTCCTCGTGGCGCGGAGGAAAGATCCGAATCATGACGTGGCGCACGTGATTGGCCATCAACTTGTCAACAACTTCCATCACGATATCGTCCGTGGGGTTACTTAATTATGACGGAGGATAAGGCCGCAAGCGGCGATTGCCGAACCTCAGGTCACAAATATTACCAAGAAATATATTGATTCATTTTCGCAACTATAAGTACAACGACCTCTGTTCATGGGCAACATCAACTGCCTAGTCATCGTTAACTGAGGAGCCAGATGCCGTGGCACTATCTGCATCAGTCGACTTAGACCCACTACCTCCAGCTTCAGATGTCGATGTGCGTTTCGATGTCGAAGTTGGCGATGACGTTGGCGACAAGTCCACATTAGCAAATTTGCGCTTGATCGCAAGTTTCGAGGGACTTCCTAGCGCTCCCTCTTTTTTCTACCAGGATATGAGAGGAGACCATGGACATTAATTCCCTCACCTGTCCCACAATACACAAACTATTAAGGCGAAACTCCTATGCAACTTCCTTCTTGGTAATATAGATCTACGAAAAAATTCCAGTTAAAAGACAAAGTAAGGAAAGAAAACAGACGTAAGGGTACATAGTCATGGCAATCACACAACCCACAGCCATAGCATGGATAGCATGAAAAGACATTTCGACGCCGGTCTTCTTCTCATGGTCGTATACAAGTACCTCAGGCAAACGATTATATTTGACATCGGCGTCCCTCAACAAGCCCAGGATATTGAAGGGGTCTCCGTATTCACTCATGCGACCCTCCTGGAACCAACAGGTCAGTGTCCTCTCCGTCAAATCATATAATACATACATCGGTCAGAAAAGCGGCAGCAGGCACAAAGACTGGACAACGGGCCTGAAGAAACATAGTGCTTGTTGGGCCATAGGCAGCGTCGCACTTAGTTTTGCCCTGGATATCAGTAGCCCAGGTCTGTAGATATTATATTATAACCCCAATTCGATATGCAACAAGAATACTCACACTGATGAAGCTATCCAATGATTGAAAGATATCGCGCACATCCTTCAATACAGATGGAACAGGGGTTCCGGAGCAAGCATACTCGAATTGACATGGCCCATTAGAAAAAGTAGTTGTGAACCTAAGTTAAGGTAAGTGTTAAGAATGAGAAAGAGAAAAAAAAAACACGCGCGTCGACCAAGCAGGATATTTGTTGTCAGGAACCACAGTGCGCTTCATAAAAGAGTCGTATTTTGGACTGTCCCGAGTGATACGAACAGCATTTGGAGTTCCGACCGCTCCTTTTTCCCAAGAGGTATGCACATAGTTGCCGCCGATGCCATTGTTGAAGGCCAAGGTAGAACGGGGTAAAACGATCCATTTCAATCATAACATCCTTCAAAATAAAGGCAATGTCGCTATCGATTTGCCCAGTCTCCCGATTATGTAGACCAGTGAAGGTTTCGGCGGCTTGAGACACCTGTTGATCCGACAAAACCGCCAACAACTTCGATGTGTCCTTCGGTGAAATCAAGTTTTCGATAATCTCGTGTTCAGGAGAGGATTGCGGCAGTGGAGGCAGAAGGTTTTTTTCGTAGCGGGGTTTGAGTTTGGACGTTGAGGCATGATGGGAGACGATAGCAAGAGGACTGGCAGCACGCAAAGCTACTTGTATTATTCTTCGCAGCCGGTTTATGGCCAGACCCAGACAAATTGCACGCTCATTAAGTGGAGTAAAGAACCTGAGGAGCAATGATGATGTCACACCAAAGACCAACAGTTCCTACAAGCAGACATCAGGCCGATAAGCCCGTTTCAAGCCGTGGCCAACAATTGGTGCGGACCAATAGAAACGATGGACAATATACAAAACAGAGTAAGGAAGCGTATAGTACCTTCTCCGGAGGGCCTTGACGCCGAGCCAATGAACAATCACAATGCACCACAGGCCCAAAAGAAGTAAGAAAAAAAATTCCTCATTATTCAAAAGTTTGAAACAAGAGCAAATCCCAAGAACAGGCAATATCTACTCACAAACTTTACAATACAACTGCTCAATAGCACCCCAATTATCAACTGCATCAATATCTAATTTCGATTTGCCCTCAAGCGCATTCGCAATCATTTGGTTGATTATGCGTCGATTGACTAGAGGCGAGAAACCAGTATTGACACAAAAGCGAGCTTTCATGAGCTCAATGATATGAGCATAGTCTTAAGCAGTGAGTACAGGATATAGAAATAATTGAACAAACAAACCTTGTCCTTGCGAAACGACAAGAGTAAATTTCCTTTGCCATACCCGAAATAAGGCCTTGCTCAATGGCCCATTACCCAGATCGTATCGCCACATAGGAGTCATCAAGTCCTTGATATCAACAGCATACGATACCCAAGACAAATGTCCATCTCGGAATTCAAGTCGAATATGGAACCGAAGTGAAGTATCGCCACACTTCAATGAGTGAAATAATTCGAGTGATTGTCGTTGGGAACGAGGGAATTTGTTTTCGATGACAATGTTAGGAAGCATAGACCCTGTCTGAACCTACAATATTCCATACCGATGAGGACCACAGTATTGGCAGTAAGGAATAGACATACCTGCATCCAACCGCGCAAATTGACAGCATCGCGATGTTCAAGGAGCCTGAGAAAGAAACTGAAAGAGAGATCATTCAGCCTAAGCCAAAGACAACTAGATAATCTTACCCATGAGTGCGTAAATAATCAGATGGTTTGTGAGCTAAGTCCGCAGACCAGAGCGCCCACCAAGCAAGGGCTGCTTTCCGACAGCCTCGCCATTCAGCTGCCTTGATGACCACGCCGTCATAACCCAAGTCAAGTAGTTCATTGAGGGACTGACAGTAAGCCTTGTGCACAGGCCAGTCGTGCTTTTGACAAGTTCGCGAGCAGTATCGAATGCGCTGGCAGTGACTGCACTGCTTGAGAGAATGGCGGATGTATGTAGCGCAGACAGCGCACATAGAGCGAGGAGCACTGAATATTCCAACAGTGGGCTGAACGACAAGATCATCCATGGGAGTAGGACGCACAAATGGAAGGATAGTACCAGCGCAGTTAAAGTGCCTATTGTTGCATACTCATTATCTCAAAGAACCATCATTTTTAAGAAGCAAGAGTTATCGATTAGCCAAAAAAACACAATGTGTGAAAGCTACCCCAACGATGGGCGGACCAGACCCTGAGCGGCAGCTTCATTGTACAGTGACAGCAAGGTAGGAAAGTTGTCGAAAGCATTGAGAGGGAGCCCCGTGCCATTTTCTATTTGACGATTTGCCTCCTCGACCATTTCATTTACTGTGTCCTGTGTGATATATGGTGCAACGCCCAGATGAACCTGAAATCGAGTTGCGACAAGAAGCGGGATATGCACTGTGTCTTCCATCGAGTCGGTAAGTAGAAAAGCAAACAGCAAAGGGTATTTGTAAGGGCAACCCTGGAGACTCCGACGGAAGCCTAGCAGGGGAGGATCCAAAGCGTGAATAGAAGCTACGGAAATACACGGAGGGACCGACCTAGCAGGGGAGGATCCAAAGAGAAGAAACTCTAAGGGTCCGCCTGCTAGGGCGCCAACTATATACTGGTCGTCCGTAACTGCCGACGTAGAGCGCAGAAGGCCTGAGCGGCGTCGCAAGCTCTGTCCCAAGGTGATCGTTGGGAGGGTCTTGACGGATCGGTGATTGTGCGGGCGAAGGAGGCCGTGGACGATGGTCGGGGTGGGTCGGAGCGTCCGAGGGGGCGTCGGTCGGATGCGCCTCGGATGCGTTCGGAGGGTCCGAAGGAGGCCGAAGCGGGGGTTCCCCTGACATCACCCCCCCCTTTGAATGCGGTGTCCCGGCGCATAGTTCGAAAGGGCAAGGAGTCGAAGGTCGCTGAGGCGATGTGCCGTGGTTTACCCGGGTACCTCCGATAGAAGTCCGCAATCTTGTCTGGCGCAAAGACACGGTCGAACCGAACCCACGAGTCATGTGAAGCATCGTAGCCTTTCCACCTGACGAAATAGTTAAGACGCTTATACCTTATCCTGGCATCCAAGATTTCCTCGACTTCCCATTCGGGGACTCCGTCCTCTAGCTCGGGGGGCGGTTCGTCGTAGCCGGGTCGTCCATTGAAGGGGTCGTCCTGAGCGGGCTCGAGCTTAACAACCGGGAAGACGGGGTGGAGCTTGGAGTAACGCGGGGGGAGGTCGAGCTTGTAGGCACCTTTGCTAACCTCTGCAAGCACCTTGAACGGTCCGAGGCGCTTGTGGGAGAACTTCTCGGAGGGCCGAGTCGTTCTAATGTCAGAAGCGTCCAGCCAAACCTTATCACCAACTTGAATATTCGGAGCGTCCGAACGTTTCCGATCGTAGTACCGTTTATACTCGTCTTTGGCTTTAACGAGCGCGGCCTTTGCCTCGGAGACGCCGTTAGCTATCCGGTCGCGAAACTCGTTCACCGACTCCAACTCTGAGCGGGCGCCTGGCTCGAAACCCATTCGGGGGAGCCGACCCGTGTCCGTCATAAAGGGTACCTGTTGAGTGGAGGAGTGAACGTGGTTGTTATAGGCGAACTCAGCGGCAGGGATAAGCTCGTCCCAGTCGTCTTGTTGGTAGTTGGAAAACTTTTGATGGCAATCAAAAATGTTTCCACATTGATGACATTATCTAGATGCTATCAGTTTCATCATCAATTACCATAATAGTAGTCTTAAATAAATAAAATAAGCCTTTAAATGAATGTGACATATGTGACAAAAAGCCCTGCTCAGTGTATTTGACAACTGCTATGCTAGCTGCAGCTAGTTGCGTTTGTAAAAATATAACGCCTATGGCTCCTTGTTGGTAGTTGGT